CGGCCCGTCCGTCCGACCGACCGACCCGTACCCCGGTACCGGACGTCGTCGTTCGTCCGGACGGACGGACGGGGACGGGAACGAACTTACTAACGTACGTCGTGTCGCTCTCTCTCTCTCTCTCTCTCTCTCTCTCTCTCTCTCTGCCTCTCTACAGGCGCGCGCGAGCGCTGTGGCGTCGACAACACCGGACCGCGCATCTACACGGCAGGCCTGGCTGAGCTCCGTCGCCGGACGTGGACGGACAGGTCGATCGAGTCGATGGACGTGCTGCCCTCCTGCAGTCATCGGCGCAGGGAGGAGGCCAGACACCCCTTATCGGATGCCGGACCCTCTCCCTCGGGACGCCGGACACGCCAACCGGACGAATCCTTGCCCACCGGACGAACCCCTACCTGCTGGTCGGACACTTCCATGTCCAACGATGGCCGTGATGACCACCGACGGGCTTTCGGAACGACGGATAGGAAGGCAGTAGTCGACTCCATGCCTCGATGACAATGACAAAGCGATAAGGAAAGAATACATCGACGACCGTGCCCGACGTGGTGATGCGGAAAAGACCTCGAAATAACCAGACGAAAATACCATGCATGCCTCTCCTGCCAGGTGGGTTGGAGCGGATCCTCGACTTCCATTTGGACGAGCCCGCTGTATGGACATCGAGCGCTGTGCAGGCCGTGTCCGAGACCTATCTGTTTGCGACGAGTCGAGCTAGGCCGCGCCGTGCAAGTGCGGTGCTGATCGTGGCGGGCCAAGGGCCGGTCGAGGATCGATGGACGGAACTCATCAACCTGATGACATCTCGAAACGGGGCTCCCCCCTGCCCGCGACCTGGCATGTGATACGGATGCCACCTTCTTCGTACTGTAGTGACCCGCAACATCCCGTCGGTGCGAGAGTATCGCCAGGGCAGCCTGCCACCACGGTGGCGCTCGCCGAGTCGTCGAGGCGCGGAGGCCATCACTGCACGGCTAAAACGCGCTCCAACATACGACGACGGCGGCATCATCGTTGCCTTCGCCGTCGCACGGCCGCCGGGAGCATGCAAGCACGCGACTGTTCCCGGACGGCGCGAACGAGTTTGATCCAGCGGTTCGCGAGCTTCAAGAGCAGGCCGATGCAGTACGGGACGAGGATCGGCACGGCCAAAAGACCTACGAAGTTGAGCTCGCCCGAAAAATCTTCGGAGAAGGCGCACATGCTTGACGGTCGGTGAGAGGAAGAGGCAAGCGGTGCGATGGGATATGCAGGGAGACGAGCGGGTGCCGCCCGACCTGACCGAAACAGGGGTTTGGCTGGTCGACGAGGGATGTAACGACTCCAACACCTGAAATCGACGGCGATCCCGGGCCGGCTGCACGTACCGCGCTTGGACCGCGCCTGGACGGGCCACACCCCGACGGCGACGATAGAGCGGGGGGATACGCGGGGAGCAGGGGACAAGGCGTCTCGCCTGGAATGGCACTGCAGCGTCGCCTTCGCCTTTGTCTGGTACCGGTATCAGAGCGTGGTGCGAGTAGGAATACTGTGGTTGACGACATATGGTGGTAGGTAGGTCGCGAAGGAGGCCATTCGAGACGCTTGCAGGACGAGTGCCCCTGCCGTAGCAGTATCGTCACAGGTACGTTCTGGCGTATCGACGGATCGTCGGTGCCGTGGGTCTGGAGTCATGAATACAAGATTGTCGCACTCTTCCCCACGCTACCTGGCCTACGCTTGGTCGCTCACGCTAAGGTGACTCTAGCCCATGCAGACGGGGCCGAAGCATGTGATGTGATTTGCGGGCTCCTTTTCTGCAGTGCGAGCGCCCAAAGCAAAGGAGATTGGTGCGGAGGCCGCGCCTCGTAGCGCCAGGTTATCGCAAACGGGGCGGCATACGCAGCAGCGCGAGCGAGTCAAGGCTAGACTCGCAGGCAAAGTGGTCAAAGAACCAGACCGTCGTCGCCGTCGTCGACGGTGGGCGAACGGGACGGTCTGGCCGCGCAAGGCGACGTCAAGCAGCTCGCGCTCGGACCATGCTGGGTCGGTGGTGGCACCGATAAGGCGAGGCAGGGCGTTGCGAGGCGGTCGGAGCATCCTCTCCGCTCCTTGCTTCGGTGGAAGCGCGACTGCAACACCATGGCCAGGAGAAGAGCACGCACTCCGCTTCGAGCCTCGATGGTCAGAGGGTTCCCCGTTCCACCCCTTCAATCATCTGTCGGCGTTCTGCGACGCTGGACGCGCTGGGTTTGCCGCGGCGTGTTGCGTAGGGTCGCCTGGCCAGGCCTGGCCAAGTGGCCGCACCGCGACGATGCAGCACAGCGCGGCATCAAGGTTGCCGGTGTCGTCCCACCAGCTCGTGACGCCGAGGTCGTTCAGAGGCCCGGTCGCTCGGAACCGGGCCTGTCCCCACCCTCGCCGCTGCGCTCGGGACCAAAGGAGCTAGAGAGGCTTGACTGATCTGATAAGCAGGTTGCGTGCGAGTGCAGCGTGGTAGTTGGACGTGGCTGAACCTTGGCCGATCCGCGCCTGCTGTCACCACCTTCACGACGACAAAGAAGATCCCAACGCCCCTCGCCAATCCGCACGTAATGCGACGCCTGCCCGCCCGCTAGAGTCTGGCCCTCTGGCGAACGACGTCGACGGCGACGTCTGCTCGGTTCTCGTCGCGCTTCCACTCGCGGTGGACGAGGGTGCTTGGTGCGACGCCAAACTCGGGGTCGAGGGTGCATCCGCACTCCTTTTCGAGGATGACTCTGGCGAGGGCATAGTGGTGTATGGCGTGGAGTGCGCAGAACCAGAGCTCCCTGCCGACGGTGGTGCGCGTCTCGACAATGTCGGGCGTGGTGGCGCAGAGGTTGACTGGGTGGGCGAGTAAGGTGGGGTGGGCGGTGAGGAGGTTCGAGAGGCGGGCGTGGACGTCTTTGAACTCGTCGAGGCAGGTCGAGGTCGAGGTTTCGAGCGAGGGGAGGCGGCGCGAGGATCGGAGGTCGTAGTCGAGCTCTATTGGCGTGTCGCGCGAGGACTGAGGCGTGTGGGGCGTCGAGACGTGGTTCTCGAGCGACTCTGCGAGGATGCGAAAGTGGTCGTGGACGCTGCGGGGATGAAAAAAGGGGGAAACAGGGAGAGAGGGGTGTGCGACGTCAGCGTGCCGTCTGGTTGGGATCCAGCCCGAGCATGGGTCCCACACAGGTGGACAGGAGGGACACCACTGACTGTCGGAGGTGCTTGCCCGGCGTGGATCCAGTGACGATCTCGCTCTCATACTGGAGGGTCTGCTGGGATACCTGACGTGCCTGGAGAATGGATATGGGCTGATGGAGGATCTGGAGCGAGGACGAGACGAGGCCCGACGCCGCGTCTGGCATTGCGAAAGGTGGGGCTGCGGGGGTTGCGGCTGCGGGTGTGGTGGACGTGGTTTGGCGTGTGGCGGTGGGATGGTTGGCGGAGCGACGAGGGCTATGTAGATGGCGGTACGGTGGCGCTGGCAAGGAGTCTGGAGATGGTGGCAAGCAAGGCGAGCGACGAGGAGCAGGACTGAGGGGATCAACGGAGCGGTCCGAGCCAGCCAAGCAATCAAGGCAAACCAACGGGTTGAGGTGAGGCGCGGCGCGGCGCAGCGAGGTGAGGTGAGGTGAGGTGAGGTGAGGTGAGCTGTGCCGCCTCGCTCCCTCCACACCTGCGCCCAGCGGGGCCAGGCCGAGGCGAGGCAGAGGGTCATGTCAGGGTCCTCCTCGGTCTGCCACGCCACGCCATGCCTTGCCTTGCTTGCTTGCTTGGGCCCCATCGGCTCATCCGGCAACCCTCTGTGCCGATCCAACCCGTCGTTTGCCGCCAGCACTACTCCCTCAGACCAACCACACCCGGCCGGTCCCACTAGCTGCTACACACTTGTCACGCCTTGCAGGTACCACCTACTACTCTGACTCTTCCGCTCTGCGACTCGGCCAACACTCTTGACTTTTGCTTTCGTCGACGCCGACGTTGGTGACATCAAGACTGAGGCCGCCCTTGTTGTGCTAGGGTCGAGACGAGCGCCACGCCCTCGAGCCCAGTTCGCGTCGACCGCTGCCTTTGACCGTACTCAGTCGCCGTGGCGGAAGGTGCAGCTGTCGCCCTTGCGGCACGTCCCCTGCCTCCAAAAGTGGCACGGCTTGCTGCCCGGCCGCCCAAAGCCACCCCGCTGGCCCACACCATCCCGCCTCCATCCTGGCCACCCATCCGTACCGCCGCCTCCCGGCTGCTGCTGTTGCTGCTGCGGCCCAAATCCTCCTCGGTTGCTCCACTGCTGCTGTTGGTCGTACCCAACAGAAGACGCCTGCTGCTGCTGCTGCTGCTGCTGCTGCTGCTGCTGCTGCTGGCTTCCACCCGTAGGGTCCCGGTACTTGCGCGACCAGTAGCCCCCATCCTCCTCTTCCAGCCCGTAGCCCGCCTGGCTGCCCAGGCCGTACGTTGACGCTTCCGCCACGCTCGACGGCGCGCCCTGCCCCGCCGCGGCGACCGGTGCGTGCGCCACGGTGCCTGGTGCCGTCGCCGAAGCTGGTGGCTGGCCCAGCGAAGACGTGAGGCTGGCCAGCAACGCCGACACGTTGGCAGACGGCGCAGCGGGCGCGCTGCCCGCAGCCTCGCTCGGCGCCGCAACAGCGCCATTGGCGCCATCGCCACCACCACCGCCTGCCGTGCCCTTGACGTTCTGCAGGATCGAGTGCAGCATGCTCACGTCAAACTTGAGCGAACCAGGCGCCGCCCCCGCCGTAGTCGAGCTCGCCGAGACGCCTGGAACGCCGCTGCCCTGCGGCCCTTGCCCGGCCTGCTGGAGCGCCTGCGTCGTGTCCACCGCACCGCTGCCGCCCGACAGCTTGGCCAACAAGTCAGCAATGGGTAGCCCACCGCCGGTCGACGCCGCCGCCGCCGCAATCGCAGCGCCAATCTGGCTCGCCGGCGCATCCACCCCTTCGTCGCCCTCGTCCAGGTCCATCGATGCGTACTCGTCCTCGTCTCCGTCAAAGGGCTCGACCTGCGGGCCGAGAGTCATGCCTTTGCTTTCGCTGCTCAGCTCGGCCGCCGAGGCCGTCGCCGCCGCCGCAGGCGGTGCAGCCGCAATCAGCGACTCGTCGGCAGACGGCGGCGCCTGGCCTTCTTCGTAGACGGCCTTGAGCGCGTTGCGCGTCCGCTCCTCTTGCTTTTGCGCCTCGACGCTCTCGCTGCCCCGCTCCGGATTGCCTCGCGGCAACGCGACCTCGGCAGGCGGATACCAGTCGATCGCCTCTTCAGTCTCGAGATGCGCGTGCCGCAGCGCGCTTCCCTCTTCGTGGTCCAGCGCCCCGATGCCCTTGGCCGCGAGCTCGGCGTGCGCCCGCTCTTCGGCCTCGAGATCGTCATTGTCGTCGAAGTAGATGGCCACCTCGATCAGCCTGATGGCCTCGAGCTCCGAGTCGTCCTTCCACCTCACCGTCTTCTTGGCCTTGGCCTTGCCGCCGCCTGGCGCTGCCGTCTTGCCCGCATCGGCCTTGGCGGGCGCGGGACGGTGCAGGGCGTCGATGAAGCTCATCACATCGGTGCGAGCCGAGGTGCCGGCCGCCGACGACGACGGCGCAGGCTTCTTCGCGGCAACCGAAGAGCCCGCAACCGTCACGGGACGCTTGGCCTGCGCAGCAGCGGGCTTGGTACTGGCGGTGGAGAAGAACGACAAGCCCGGCTTGACGCCGGCCGCCTTTGACGTGGCGCCGGCCGCCTGGACCCGTGCGTTGGCGCCCGGCTGCTTGGACGCAGCAGAGGCTGCAGGGGCGCCGTTGAGCTTGGCCTTCTTGGCCGCGGCGAGCGATCCGTCGGTGGCCGGAGGGGCGGGCCGTTTGTTGCCGCTGCTCGAGGACGCGGCCGCCGAAGAGGCGCTCGGAGTGTTGACGAGCTCGCTCCACTCGTTCTTGATCGTCGACGCCATCTCCCGGGCCATTACGGAGCGCGCCCGCTTACTGACGGCCATCACGAGCTTGCCGAGCGATGCCTCGTCCTTGAGGTGGTCGAGGGTGACGGGCGACAGCTTGAGGATTGTCAGGAGGGGCATCAGCGTCCGGCCGTACTCGACGCTGAGGTCGGCGATGCCCGACGTCTTGGGCGGGATGGCCTGGCGGAGCCACGAGGCAAAGATGTTGCGGCCAGAGTGGCTGGCGATCCAGGCCCCGTAGTACCTGCGCCGCGACGTTTGAGAGCACGTGCGGTCCGAGACGCCATCCATCATCATCATCCGGAGGATCTCCATCCGCTGTGGCGAGCCCACGCTTCGGGGGCGGCGGAACTTGCCGTCCTCGTCGACGTCGCTCAGCAGCTCGATGAGCTGGCGCGCAGCGTTGACGGGGTCCTTTTCGACGAGCGTCGGCGTGAGCAGCGGTCGAGCCTTGGACAGGATGACGCTGGCTGCCGTCCTTGCAGGCGCGGCGGCAGCAGCGGCGGCGGCAGCGGTCGCCTTCTTCTTGGCAGGAGCAGCCGAGACGCCGGTCGCAGCGGACGGCGCCGCCGCCTTGCGGCTTGCAGGGAGCGGCGGGGTGCTGGGCTCGGAGCTGTCGGTCTCCGGACCCACCATCTGTGGCTGCTTGGCCTCGAGCTCGTCGTGCTTGAGCGTGGATAGCGCCACACCTTTGACCGCTGCAAGCGTCCTTACCCTTTGCTTGCCAGGCACCACGGCAACGTCCGCTTCCGCGCTCTGCCCAGAACCCGTCCGCTGCGCTAAAGGCGCTGCCTGGTGCTGGGCGCCGGCGGAATGCATATCCTGTCTTGGCTGCGGTTGTTGCTGCTGCTGCGCTTGCTGTTGCGAAGGCAAGGCTCCAGCCCGGTCGGAACTGTATCCGGACGACGCTTCAAAGCTCGGTGCAAAATCGAGTGCAGAGGCCAGCGATGAGCCTGAAGGACCCAGAAACAGCGACGAGTCGGCGTCAGAACTCTGCGCGGGTCCCTGACCGTGGGAGATTTCGGGCGGGTAGCCGTTGCGATGGCTGTTGCGCGCCCAGGGAGCCGAGTCGGGTGCGACCTGGCCCATGGGCAAGCCGGTAGCAGCAAAGTCGCCAGCCTGGGCGGACGACGGCCCGGACTGATTCATGAACGACTGCACAACGGAATCAAATGCAGTGCCTTCAAACGTGGTGCCGACGGGCAGGGCTTGCTGTTCGCGCTGCCGCTGCTGCTGCTGCTGCTGCTGCTGCTGCTGGTAGAGGTGCTGCTGGTACTGCTGGTCTTCGTGCGAGAGCCCGGGCTGCGGCGAGTGCGACGCGAAATGCAGCCCTGGCTGAGGCTGCTGCTGCGAAAATAGCTGCTGATGATGGTGCTGCTGATGCTGGTGCTGTGCATGTTGCTGCTGGTGCTGCGGTTGCTGTTGCTGCTGCTGCTGGCCTTGCGACTGATACGAAAAGTGACCCAGCTCAGTCGGCTGCGGAGATTGGAGCCGGTTCGCCTGGTAAGTGTGAAAGTGCTGATAGTCGACCGGGTTCGGTTGGCCGGCCTGGGCCTGGAACCACGCTGGCTGCCCGTCGCCTGTGACCTCGCAATGGAGACATGGAAGGGTCCCATCGACGGTGTCAGCGTTGTATCGTAAGATGGCGCTGGAACGTCGCGGGGATGCCGCCGGCGCGGACCGACTCGGAAGACTTGGCGGCACGGCACGACGGCCATACGAGGACATTACTACTCACCGTTCCGGCCCTGTTCGAGCCAAGCTTGCAGGCTCGCCGGCGAGTGCGCCTGGCCCTGCTGCTGCTGCTGCTGCTGCTGCTGCTGATGGTGCTCGCGCTGCATCGCGTCGGTCTGCATGTCACGCCGGCGCCTGTTGCCTCGGTACCGGGGGAGAAATGTGCTGCGGCGACAAATATTAAAGTTCAAAAGAGAACGGACGGACAATCAGCGTCACACGCTCTCTCCTGATTGTGTTGTGGCATGCGCCAAAGGCAGAGCAGCGAAGGGCGCAAGGCGATGGCCAGGATCGCGAGCGAGGACAAGACTCGAGGGGTGGGCGAAGAGCCAGCCCTCTTGGCTGTCGTACAGCGCGCGCCTGGGAAAAGGCTGGGCTGGCTTGGTCGATGGGCGTTCCGGGTCCCGAGGCTCGCCTGCTTTGGCCGCCACGCCGTCCTCCACCCTTTCCTCGCTTTTGCCTCCGAGGGGGGGGGGGGGGGGGGCCGCGCGCGCGCGCGCCGCGCGCGCGCGTACGTCGTTCGTCGCGTCGGTCGTCGTCGTACCGTACGTACCGTCCGTCCGTCCGTCCGTCGTCGTCGTCGTCGTCGCG